AGTCCAGTATTGATTGTTTATATTTATTAATCTAATTTTGCTCCTTATAGTGTATTACTTTTCTGCCGCCTTTTCTTAGTCCTTCTTGAATTGATTCGTCTCATTCCAATTTTACCATCTGAGATTTTTGAAGCTTAACGCTGAACTTCTATTGTGTTGGTGCTTACACTGTGGCCGATGTGGTGTCTTGCAGTTCAGTTTCAGGTTATAGATAGGTGTCCTTTCATTTACTCTTCTTGATCTTGAATTTCACTGAACTTTTTTCCCCTTTTCCTCACTGCACATCTTAAGTAAACCTCTTGGTAGCTTTTTATTTTTAAATAATTTTATTGGGGGCTCTTATCACAATCCATACTTCCATTGCATCAAGCACACTTGTACATGTTGCCATCGTCCTTTTCAAAACATTTTCTACTTGAGCCCTTGTAACCAGCTTTTTTTCGTCCTCCCCCACCCTCATGACCCCTTGATCAATTATTATTTTCATATCTTACACTGTCCACTGTCTCCAGTCACCCATGTTTCTGTTGTTCATCACCCTGGAAAGGGGGGATTTATACATCATTATGATCAGTTCCCCCACCCCCACCCCCACCCCCGGCAATCTTTTCCCTACCCTTTTGGTATTGCTACTTCTATAATTATTCCTAAGGGGTTTATCTTTCCTGGATTCCGTGAGTTGAGAGCTATGGTCTAGCCAGAAATGTAAGGTAGAATTTGGGTCATGAAAGGGAGGGGCAGGAAGCTTTAAAGAACTAGAGGAATGTTGTTTCGTCGGTGCTATACTGCACCCTGGCTGGCTCGTTCCTTCCTTGTGACCCTTCTGTGAGGTGATGTCTAGTTTTCTACAGATGGGCTTTGGGTCTCCATTTCAGCCCCCCTTGTTCCCATCGATATGATTGATTGGGTCTTCTTGTCAACACTTCACGGTCACACAGACTGGTGTGCTTCTTCCATGTGGTCTTTGTTGCTTCCCAGCTAGATGGTCGCTTAACTTCAAGCCTTTAAGACCCCAGATGCTGTATCTTTTGATAGCTTTCTTCACCACATTTGCTTATGCACCCATTTTGTCTTCAGTGATCATGTCAGGAAGGTGAACAACACAGTATGCCAGGTTAATAGAACAAAGTGTTCTTGCATTGAGGACGGACTTGGGTACAGGTCCAATGTCTGTTTGCTACCTTATTATTTCACAATGTATGTACATAGATCTGTCCCTAGCACGATATATATATTTACATATGTACTTGCCTATATTTAGACCTCTATAAATGTCCTCTGCCTCCTAGTTGTTACTCTATTTCCTTTTGTCCCACTATCATGTTTGACCTTCATTAGGCTCTCAGTAATTTCTGCTACACTGCACTCGATCAAGCCCCAGAAGGCATTCTACGCCACCAGACTTTAGATCACTTATTGTTCCCTTGTCCCTGGGCTTGTTGCCCGCCCCCCCCCCCAACTGTCAGCCCCATCATTTTCTCCTCAGAATTGTTTATTTTTTGTTTGTCTGCTTTAATCGTTTTATTAGGGGTTCATACAACTCATCACAACCCATACATCATGTAAAGCACATTTGCACTTTCATTGTCATTTTCAAAACATTTGCTCTCCACCTAAGCCCCTGGCATCAGCTCATTTTTTCCCCTCCCCATGAACTCTTGATAATTTATAAATTTTTTCATATCTTGCCCTACCCAATGTCTCCCTTCACCCACTTTCCTGTTGTCCGTCCCCCAGGGAAGAGGTCACATGTAGATCCCTGTAACTGGTTCCCCCTTTCCAACCCACCCTCTCAGTATCACCACTCACACCACTGGTCCTGAAGGGAGCATCCGCCCTGGATTCCCCATGTTTCCAGTTCCTATCTGTACCAGTGTACATCCTCTGGTCTAGCCGGATTTGTAAGGTAGAATTGGGATCATGATAGTGGGGGAGGAGGAAGCATTTAGGAACTAGAGGAAAGTTGTATGTTTCATCATTGCTATGTCTTTTTGTACAAGATCTGAGAGCAGTTAAATATTCTTCCAGGTCTCTAAGAACTAGTCTAGAAACTGCTAGCTACCTAGTTTGGGTAGTGACAGTAACATAGCGGCAGAATGCAAACCAGTAAGGAACAGTGTTTGGAGCACGAACTCGGAGGTATATGTCTTGAGAGAAAAGCTTGAACCTATGGAACACAATCAGTTTTGTCATTATAAATATTGCCACCTATGCATAATGTTTCATTAGACTTCACCATGGTCTGGATTAACTTTTTTTGCATGTGAACTGGGTGAAGTTTTACAGGGCAGATCCTTTCCTATGAACAATTCATACACATTTTGTCACTGTAATCCTCACAATGTGACATCATTTCTTCCAATTCCTTCCTGTCTGGGTTAACTCATGCTTTTGCTTTGATTACACCGAAACTTTCTGATCATGGATTGGGCTTCCCTGGGGACATCTACCAAGAAGAGGGAAGAGCCAAAGACAAATATTGACTCACTGCCACCGAGTCAATTCTAGCTCATAGCAATCTCATAGGATAGGGTAGAACTACCCCTTTAGGTTTCTGAGACTAAATCTTTAAAGCAGCAGCCAGCCTAATTTTTCTCCTGCTGGTGTGTTCAAACCATTAACTTTGTGGTTAATACCTACTATAGGTTAGTAAAATTGACCTACTGGCTTATGAGTCCTGTGTGACTGAATTGTCATTCTCCCAGAGAACTGCGTCACTTTTAGGAGTACAGAAAATTGCCAGGTTTGGTCCCAAGTCTTTGGCTGTGTTAATTTCAGCAAGTACATGCACCCTCCAACACCTGGGCCATCTGCTGGCTGGCTGGCTCTCCCAGAGGACACTGCTGCTTCTACATGCCCTTCTGAGTCTTCCCTTCACATGTCACCCAAAACTAGAGGTACTTGTTTTGCCAGACCCGTGTCTGATTAAGTACTTCTGTTTAATTACATAATGCATGAATGTTCTAGTAAAATATTTAGACACTCTGTTTAAAAATGCCTTTGGCAGTGCCCTCCATGCATATCCCTTCTCCTTCCTGGCCTATTCTCCTCTCTGTGGTAATCCTATTGTGCATTTGTGTGTCCTTTCACATCTTCTAGAGAATTTGTAACTAGATATAACCCTACAAAAACGTTGTATCTTGTTTTCTGTGTTTGTATGAACATAAAAGGGATCATTGGCTTTTGGGCAGTTCTGGGTCACTATCAATCAACACCCTCCTTTGTTTCCTTCTGCATAGGTACCAGTATTTTCTAAGGGGTACCTCTGCCTCCAGGAACATTTGACACACCTAGATACATTTTAGGATGTTAGCTTGGTGGCGGTGGGGCTGCTCAACACCCTTCAGTACTCAGGATAGCTCCTCACGACAGAGTTACCTGGTCCCAAATGCCAAAGCCCAGTGCCACATATGCAATCTTTAGGAAAAAATAAGAGATCCGTGCCACTTTCTTTATCAGTTTACTGCTGTGTGTCCAGTCACTTACGCTTACAGGGAGCTTCTGTGGTTTTTCAGCAGCTGTGTGGGCTGGACAGGCAATGCTTCCGGTGATAAGGTTCCTTGTGCAGTTGCATTCAGCTGGACAGTTGATGGGCCCAAGACCCAAAGCAGTCTCACCCACACGTCTGGCACCTGGTGCTAGTTGCCATTTGGGGCGTCTAATTGCCCTCCATCAACTCAGACCAGCTTACTCTGGGCATTTTCCACAGGGAGTAAAAAGTGGAAGACGCTTGTAGGACACTGCCTGAAATTCTGTGCGACCCCTGCCACATTCAGAATTCCCGAAGTTTCTGCTGCAATCTATAGGTCAAAGCAATTCAAAGCCAGCTTATGTTCAAGAGTGAGAAAACAGGCAGAATGGGTGATGTAAAGAACATTTTTAAGGGTTCCACTGACAAAAATAGAACCAATGATAATGCTTTGGTCAATTTTGCTTTTAAGAAAAAGTTATGCTTATGTTGTTAAGAAGCACACGTGTTGTATTCATTTAAAAAATATTTTCCTTTCAGATTGTCTTTAGTATTTAAATAGATAAATGTTAAAGGCAGCCAAAAACCCGTTTTCTAAAACTGCAGAAAACAGTCATTGAGCACATTAACTTTGAATGTGCTTTTTTCATATGATGGGAGGGGAGCTTTAACAAGTTCACTGAAAAATGGAATCAAAAGATACAATTCATACAAGTTTTGTTTTATGTCACCGGTGGCAATTCCCACAATCTAGCATGCCTTATCTCATTTCTTCCTTGTACTTCGACAGCCATTCCTCCTTTCCTTCTGAACTTTGTCCGTGGCAAATGCTGAGCTTGGGAACAAAAGGAAGTCTGAGGGGGCAAGGCAGGGCTGTAAAGTGGGTGGGCTGAGGTTCCAACAAAATACTCAAGGACAGCCCTTGCTACCCTGTAAGAGGTAGCAGATGCATTGTTGTGATGAAAAATAATTCCCACATGCAACTTTTTTGACCCTTTCTCACCAATGCAGTTTCCAATGTTCTTAAAATGTCTTCTTAGTAAGCCCCATGACCACCTTGTGTTCATCAAGAGCTATCAGATTATCTCTTTGGAATACCGAACAAAAAAACCAACAAACCAAACAGCAGTGGCCCTCCTTTTGAGCCGACCTCTCTGTTTTGCACTGAGCGGGCTCCAGAGAGCCCCTTGAAGCTACTGTTTGGACAGGCTCTTCTCTTTCTTCTGGAGGCACTCCGAGGTGATTAAGACAGTGTATCACTGAGAACTTGTTTGCAGCCATCCACGCATCACAGCGACGTGTTGACACACTCTTTGTTTGGAGTAAACTCATGCATGTGGGAGCTGGAATGCTACTAACAATACTACTTTTTCTTACCCCCTCACACCTATATCAGATGATTCTGCAACGGAGTTTCATTCAATAAGAGCACATCAATACAGAAAGTCTAATACTCACCCCATGACACACTCCTAGCTGAACGGAAGAAAACGTGAGCTCCATGGTTTGGTCTCACTCTGCGCTCTCTGTGTTACAGGAGGAAGTCTAACGGGGGCTGTGTTTAATCCAGCGCTGGCACTTTCACTACATTTTAACTGTTTTGATGAAGCATTCCCTCAATTCTTTATAGTGTATTGTCTGGCTCCTTCTTTAGGTAAGTATATTTAATAGGTTTGAAAAATTAGGCCTTAAAATATGTGATCACTGTAATATGTCAATTCTCACAGGCACAAATATAAAAATGGTAGAAAACGTGTTTGGACATTTTATTTTGTGTAGTTTCCTTTACAATATTTTTACCTAAAAAGAAAGGTCAGTTAGCTTCCAGCATGACCCCACTTTGAGACGTTCTGAGAAGGACAAAACATGAAGAGTCCAACCTTCCATCAAAGGGAAAAATTAAAGCGTTTCTTTCTTGAATTTATGAGCTACACATATACTATAGTTTCTTCGACTCGTGTTTCAATGAAATAAATAAAATGAAATAAAGTGAAATAAAATGATGAAATAAAGTGTACTTTTAATATGTGTAGCTTAAAAATTATCCAAAAGTCCATTCCTACTATTTCTATCTGGATCAAGTATGTAAAACCCCAACAAATATATAATAACTGTAATCAAAATGGGCACTTCCTTAGTTATATAAATTATCAACATTTTGAAGTTTTTGCTTAGCCACCTATATTTCAAGCCTGTGATTATCATTCATAATGTTAATATTAAGCTATCTAGACCTCTGTTCAATTCTTGCCCAGTTCGTGTTTTGCTCTATTTTTCTAATAACCAAAAAAGATGGTGCACATATAAAGGAGCACTGGCCAAATGTGTATAGCCACCACACTTTCCTCCTCCCACTCAGCTTCTATTCCCTTATCACCCACTATCTATTATGCTAAACCACCCATCAATAACCCTACCTATAGGTCTCAACACTAAGGCAGTCAGAGCCCAAAACCCTGCATTTTAAAGCTAGTAGTGGCAGCTTTTTTTCAGATAGTATTTAAATTAAGAGTCAATGAAAACTTAACTAGGCTGGTCTATCAGTAGTTGGAAAAACTCCTCCAATATATCTTACTTGAAGCCAACATTAGGTATAGAACTGTTATTGGCTTTCAATTACAATGTTAAGAATAAGTTCAGTATACTAAAGAATCATTTCATCTACTACTTCAAGGAACAATAAAAGTAGGCCTTCCAAGAATGTTAAGTCAAAAGACATTCTCTGTAAAAGAACTATGACTCTTGTCTGAAAACACATGTTTTCCACCCCAAAACACTTAAAAATTTCTTTCTGGAAGAATATACCAGAAAAGTTCCATGACAGACGAAAAAAAGCTCAAAACCTCTCCCCCCTCAGAGAGCACACAGAACAGAATGGTAGGGTAGAAGGAACGTATTCCCTGTGGGTTGGTATCCGCCACACAGGTAGATCACATTACTTATGGCCATTATCAGAAGATTAACAAAAGATTATTCCGCAAAAACAAGCTCCAACACCCATACAAAAACTAAGTGTACTTAATTTCTTTGCTATCTATGCAAGAGATCTTGTACAAGTGAAATGTAAACTTTTTTTTTTAATGTAAACTCTTGTAACTATCTAAGACCAGGTTTAGTTTGCTGAAAATATAACTTTTTGTATGTTACAAATACTGTTTTTACATATTCAAAGGCCACCTGTGTCAAACAAGTCTATCAGTGCCATTTTCCCAATAGCATGTGCTTAAGGGTCTCTGTGTTACATTTGCTAATTCTCACAATGTCTCAAACACTTTCATAATGCTGTTATGCACTTACTAGTCCGGCATGTACTATAAACCTAACTCATAGGCACTGGGAAACAAAGCATGTCATGTGACTTGGTTTGCTGTGAAATTCGTTTTATTGGGATATGGCACCACACCTGCAACAATAGACCCAACAAAACAGGTTCTGTTGCTGGTTTTGGGTTAAAGAGGCATGTTCCTTTATTTCTTTAAGCGATTTATGAATGAGAAATAGAAAAGATACCTTTCCAATATATACAGATTAAGAAATACACATGCAAATAAACGGCAGTGTTCAGAATATTAAATTCTGGCTTACCCTTGAATTTTGTCATAAGAGAAGTTATATTCCCAGTGGGGGGAAAAAAAGACCCAAGTTAAAGTCACAATTACACTCTAAGAAAAGTTAAGAAATTCTAATTTATAGGTCATTCAAAGATCGAAATAGATGAATCAGAAAAACAACCCAAAGTCAAATTAGGCAACTCCATTGAGAAAGATGAGTAATCTCCAAAAAGATCTATTTTCTTCTCAAACAAGCAAGGATTCAGTCCTCACTGTTTCTTGTTGCTTTTTGTAATGGAGGCAATGACTTAAAATGGTAGGAAGGTAACTAAATGAATGCAGGTAGAATAACTCGCTAGCTTACACATTTCATAATAAAACTTGGCATATGCTATATTTCTATGAAAATGCAAGTCCATTTTTAGAAAAATGTTTTAAATGTAAAATCTTATTTTCTAGCTCAGATCACATCATGGGGATGCTTGTTTCATTACATAACAACCAAACCACTGACAACGGCCACACAAAACAAAGCATCATTTTGAGGGACACAATTCTATCCATGGCAGGGATTGTTTCTGATTTTATTTTCCTTTCTTTCATTTGATTGCAAACGACTTATCTTGTTAAACTGTTACAATATCTATGTCAGCCATACCTTAAGTTTCCTATTGTTGCCAAACAAGAGTAAATTAATTTCAAATTTGCATGTGATAAACTCATTCTCAATCTAACTTTTAACTGATCTAGAGCTTTAAGCCTAAATAAATAAGATTTTAAAAGGGGGCAAAAAAAAAATCAACCATTACAGACTCCCCTTTGAGAAAGTGACTGAGCCCTTACGCCTCATTCCTCTCTTCTGCCACTGAAAACCTAACTAGTTAACAGCTACATACTACAGTGAAAAAGGAATAACCAAATCTTTTTGTAAGAAGTAAAACCAGAATGCTCCGTGGAAGCAAGGATAGTGTCTCCCGTACTTTGGACTTGATATCAGGAGAGACTAGTCCCGGGAAAGGACAACATGCTTGGGAATAGGAGAGGGGCAGTGAAAAAGAAAAGCCTTCAACAAGATGAAGTGACAGTGGCTGCAACAATGGGCCAAACGTAACCACTGTGAGGCTGGCGCAGCAATACCATTTTAAGTGATCAAAATCTTGAGACTTGTTAGGAATTCAGGTCAACGATTTCATGAGTCGGAACCAACTCAAGGCACCACCACCACCTCCACTACTCTAGATTTGTCCACTGTAACCTCCGAAGTGAAGATTTCTCTTTGTATAAAGAAACTAAAATGTCAGCATTGGCTGAAATTTTGTGTTAAATATTTTTCTTGATACATTTTTAAATGCTATTAATTGCTGAGATTAATGGATAAAAATGTAAGAGATCAAATAACCTAGCATACTGTTTGTGTGTTCCAAGTGAAAACTCAGTGCTCAGTTGCTTTATGCTCTTGGTTCCCTTCCTGGGGCTTGACAGGGGAGAACATGGTGCCATTTTAAAAGGTCAAATGGAGATTCAAGTCTAGGGTTTCTCACTTACCAAATCAACAAGGAGCCAGAAGTAAAAGTAGCAACCTTTGGGTTTTGTGTATTCTCTACATTACTTAAATCCTACTAGTACCCAATTTTGAGGGGGGAAAATATGAGAATAGATTTAAATGTTTCATCTAGTCTTAATTTTAAATTATACCCCTGAGTGGTTATGCACTTCTTTTAAGGTGTGTTTTGATTTTATTTGACTATTCTTTTTCTTTCAGGTATATTGTTGATGGGTCTGATGTTCAACCTTTTCCTTCCCTGGCTGCACAACAACCATGTGCTTAGTAAAAGGGAATGAATATTTCCAAAGACTCAGACTAAGTCACATGGCCATCCAGCTGGACGTGGTGTGGTTTTTTTTATCACCTCACATTCAACACAATGGCTGCAATGGAGCCTCTTCACTGTTAAGCTTCCTTTGAAGAAGCTGTCTTATAGTTTCCAACACCATGGGGACTTAAAAAAAAACTGATGTGAAGTATCCTGTGTTTCTCAGTTACGAGGGGTTCTTTTGATTAATGTATTAAATGCTGCTAGAAAAGATTCATTAAATATAAATCTCAAGTGATAACAGTGGTGAACTTTAGTGGGGAAAAAAAGAGTACTGGGAAAAGGGAAAGCAAGGTGATGTACATGGTAGGACCAGAGAAGAGAAGTGTGTGTATATCAAGTGGTAGCGGAATGAATGAGAGTTTAAAGTCTAACCACCAGTCATTCTGACCAAACTGGAGGTGACTTTTCACCGAACACCTTACACAATGATACTATCAACAGTGTCATCTTTCAATAGGAAAGGTGCATTTGCAAACAGATTATATATCCACTTACACTAAAGGGGTTACCTAAATTTAACACATACTCTAATCGAATATCTAAGATAATTTCCTCTAAGTAGACAACTCACAACTTGGAGTCATTACTCTTTCTAAAAATGTAATAAAATAGAGCACCCACAGTTAAGATGAAAGGTTTTCACATGCTCATTTGATCCAAACAATGACCTTAAGTAGTAGTTAGAACATGTATTTTTAATTTCTGTTTTACAGATAAGGAAACGAAGTCTAGAGGGGTTCTTTGTCATGACCAAGGCCACAGAGAGCCAGATGGCATTTTGCGACTTCTTATTTCAATCCAAAAATTCCATTTGATCCCAGGACTAATGGGAAATTTGACCATTTTGAAGGAACTTTAAATACTTTCTACAAAGAATTTATTTTATTTTATTAAAGATTTAAGAACTAAGTTATTTTTGGTGTTGTCTAAAGAATTCTCTTGTTTTCCTGTAACAGATACTCTATTATTATCTTAGGCCTAATTTTCATAAAAAACTTGGGCAGCAAAACAGATTAAACCTTCAAAAGAAGTTCCATTACCAGGGATAGAATTGCAAGTAAGAAACTGGAGAGAGACAGGGTCTCTTTGAGAATTAATCAACTCACAGGCAACTGATAAGCTGCCAGGTAATCTAAGTAGTGCTTGGGGATCAGCTTGTAGGCAACTGATAAGCCGCCAGGTAATCTAGTAATGCGTGGGGATCAGCTTGTGGATAGTCACCCTGCTCACACCTGTGTACTGGGCAGTGCACTAACTCTACTCAGCAAGGCCAGGAAGACGCCAGTTTAACAATTACGGACTTTGACTCCGGAAGCAGCTACATGTACGAGTTGAGTATTTGAAAAAGAATTCACAAAATGGTGACCGCATGGCTAAATGCTGTTTCTGACATGTTTTATTTGACTGACACAGTATTTTAAAAACAATTTAGGCTAATATTTTGTCTTTCTGACACAAAAATCCCAATTCCAACTTTTCTTGGAAAAAAACCCAAAAGATCCAGCAATAGCAACCACACAGTGCAATGGTTCTCTTCCGAATGGTTCCTTACACTGACTCACTTGTTTCACGATCATTTTTTCTTATAACAAAATATTTTCACTAATCTCTGTGTTTAAAGAAAAAGGAAAGTACTAATTATGAATGCACCCAGCCCCTAAACTCCACCTGTCAGACTCTGAGCTTGGGGTTTCTAATGACCTTGCTGTCTCAGCAGCCCTTTCAAGAGGTGGCTTTTCTCTCTCCCTCACCTCTCAGGTTCCTGGGTCTGGACTTGGAGTAGCTTTCCTTGCTTGCACTGCTGCTTCTGGCCACGCTCCTTCAGTTCAAGCTTGTCACCAGGCCATGCTGTCTGCTCGCCACCCAAGACTTTCTTGCTGTAGTTACCTATGGTATCCTCCTCTCAATTTCCCACGCCCATCCCCCCAATTCCTTTAAGATCTTAACTCCTGTCTCCTTCTCACTCTCTATACTACTAGTTATAACCTACACACACACACATCAAAAACAAACTCACTGCCATCAAGTAGATGTTGACCCATAACAACCCTATAGGACAGGGCAGAACTGCCCCTATGAGTTTCCGAGATGGTTATTGTTTACGGGAGTAGACCCAGGTGGTTTGGAACTATTGACCTTGCAAATCGAAGCTGAACGTGTAATCACTGTACCATCAAGGCTCCTCCTCCTCAGTTATACTTCCTGGTTATACCAGCACTCCTGCTGCAGTAATCCTGACACCTTCCCTCTTGGGGAACTTCTGTGTACCTCGCATATCTTTCACCCCACTCAAGCACTCACTTCTCCTTAACCAGTTTAAATCATTTGGAAAATCATCACTATATTTGCATATACTTTTAACTTCCTTGTTCCTCTTATCTCTTCGATTACACTATTAAACACCACTTGATTAAATCCAACTAAGAATCTGGAAACAGCAGTAAAGAGCATTCTTAAGGAATCTTGCTATAAAAGGAAAGAGAGAAATGTAGAAATTAGCTAAAGAGGAAGCGGGATCAAGAAACGATTTTTCCTCTTTAAATATTAGAAAAATAATAGAATGTTTATATGCTGACGGGAATGATGCAATAGGGAGAAAATAAGATGATTTATGTACAACAGAGAGGGGAAATTTCCTGAGAACACACTCTTTTGGCTAGTGAATCTGAGATCTAGTGTACAACATAAGAAATAGGAGGAAAGGTATGAAGATAGGGACAGGAAGACTTAGGTAAGCAGACTGCTGGAAGTCCCCCAATGTTCTCTTGAAGCAGTCCAGTCAGACCTAAACTCAACAGCTTCACTGAAGCTCCACTGTACAGGATATCCATGGCTTCCAGGTGCAAGTTCTCACAGTTCTTACTACCTACTGGCATTATTTGACACAATTGATAGCGTTCTCTTCCTGAAGTTTCTTCATGTGCTTCCAGAATTTGCTGGAACTTGCTCCCTCAATTTCTTTTTGCTAGTTCTCCCTCCTTTTTGCAAAAGAGATGCTTGAGTGCCCCAGGGAGGGCTCACTCCTCTGAGCTCTTTTCTCCTGTGTCGCCATCTGGCTTTATAGCAAATATTAGACTCAAAGTTGTATCTCCAGCTTGTACAACTGCCCTGAACCTAAGACTCATATCCACTAGCAGGCTGGCTGACTCTATCTGGCTTTCTAATACACGTCTCAAGTTGATACTTGAAACTCTAGTTAATTCTAACTGCACAGCTTCTCTATTATATTGATAGGTACTTCTAGTTCATCCTTTATGAGGACACTTCAAAAGGTTCATGGAAAAATGGAATGACAAGATAATGGAATTTTCCCACTTTTTTGAAGCTCCCTCTTATTAAAGCAATGCTTTGGCAAACATTCTTTTTTTTTTTCTTCCCTTCTTTCTTTTTTATCAAAGCCATTTAATTAGGTTTTAATACAGACATCATTCCATAGAAATCACATCAAACATTATTGTACAATTGCTACCACAATCAATTTCCAAACATTCTTTTCCTTGAACTCCTTGACATCAGCTTCCTTTTACACCCACCCTCCTCCACTGTACCCCCAAGAAACCTGTATTCCACTTCTCGTCCCTACAGGTACATCAATGCTGGGTTACACAGACTGAAAAACATACAACACAATCTCAAGAGGGTCAGAACACAGAAATAAACCCCAATATGAACAAACAAAACAAAACATAAAATAAAATACAGAAAATGTTGAAAACCAGATCAAGCCTAATGTGCGTCAGAGGGATAAACTGATAAGGTTTTAACCATTCAAGCCAGGTTTGTCATTTTGCTTTTGTTTTGTTTCGTTTTGTTTTTAACGTATGGACTGATTTTCACTTTTTAAAAAAAAGCATTTTATTAAGGGCTCATACAACTCTTATCACAATCCATACATACATCAATTGTGCAAAGCGCATTTGTACATTCATTGCCTGGCAAACATTCTTGAGCATGTATTTTCTGCCTCATGTATGTGGTTCTCTAGGTTAGAAGCAAGTTTTCACACTATTTGGTCCAATAACAGCGGTTTAACCCAAGATACCAACTCTTCTTACCCAGATTACTGCACTACTTCTTATTCCTATTGTCTGCGTGATCCCATGAAAACAATCGGATCATGTTATAGCTTCCCACTGCATATTAGAAAGATTATATTCTTCCAATTATAACAAAACTATAAGCAACTGATGCTGCCCTATCCTGCAACTGCTTGTGAGTTAAACCACATTATCAGAAAACACAGATGACTATCCTGGAATGTGAGGGTTAAAACCACATACTTTAAACGCTCCAAAAAGCATACACATAAAGACTCCACAACCTCTGGTATTAACACTCTTCAACTCACCCAGAATATAAATCCCTGGAGCCTCGGCATCTTCTATTTGCTGCAGTAACCTTTTACCTACTCTCTTTGCCTCTAGTCCTCATTGAGAAATTACGTAGATTTCATATAGATCACTACTATATAGCTACTTCTCAAGCAAACCCTATTTTAAAATACCTTGAGAATGGGTGAACCCACATATGGTTACCCATCTTCTGTAGCCAATACATAGTGATTATATTCTGAGCAGTAGCCCTTACTAGGATTCTAATAGACTTATTGCTATTTTATAGAAAGGAACTAGAATATATTTTTACCAGCATCTCTAGATCTACTGACTTTTTTTCTTTTCAGAGTTGTATTCTTACTCCATAGTTAGTTAATCTGCATGTCCTGAATGGTGCTGGAGCTTAGGTTCTTGTCTTCCCAGAATAGGAATTGACTTTGGGAGACAAGGAATCACTGAGAATTTTATCAAGAAATTTGTAGGGGAAGAAAAACCTTGGTAGTTCTTATTTCCCCCTGCATACACACACTCTTAAGCTCTAGTTGATTTTTGGGTAGTTTTACATTTCAGGCTTCATATGTATTACAAAAATGAGCTAATTATATATTTGTAGCTTCTTTTATTGTTACGAAAAGCATTATCACTGCTGGTGATAGTTAACATGTATACAGAAAGCTTCCTTTCTAGACACTGTCTTTTAATGTTGTTGTTTTACTGATTATATATCTAACATGCTGTTTTAGATGTATCAGTGATTCATATAAGCACTCAACTAATCCTAAAAACCAAAGTTATCTATCTAAAGGAGTTTCAAAAGCTTCATGAGAAAATTCCATTATCTTTTAATTCCACTTTTCTATAAGCTTTTTGAAGCCCCTTGCTTGGTTATAGTCTGCTATATATATTTAACGTTCTTATCCTATATAGTTGGTTTTTTAAAATCTTTTTCTTGGTGGCTTTTACAACTCATCACAATCCATACATCCATCCACTGTGTCAAGCACATTTGTGTATCTGTTGCCATTCTCATTCTCAAAACATTTGCTTTCTACTTAAGCCCTTGGTATTAGCTAAT